GTATATATGTACGTATTGTACAACGTATTAATCGATAACATTTTTTAATAATATACCAACAATATAATAATAGAAGAAACACTACCTACTCAATTTTAAGTGTTTCAAAAATGTTTCTTCTTTCTTTCAATTTTGAAAGTGGAATAGGTTCCCTGTAGCATGAGCCGCCACTGGATAGAATACGATGTCAACCCAAAAAGATTTAGGTATAATAATATGTATATATACATATACATATATATATAAGTGGTGTTGATCATTTCGATTTTATAATATCGTTGTATGTCGCGTATAAATTAAATATCTATTATTTTGGACCAATTGGTTTTGGTTCTGATACGAAAAACCTTCAACAAACGCAACGAAATTATGTTCACAATTATTAACAGGAAAATATGTGCACGAAGAATATAGTATTAAACAGTAAATAGTATTTTATAAGAAAATTACGAAACATTAATTGATACTTTATTATTATGTCGTATATAACCATATAAAACGGGAAATTGAAACACTCCTGGACCGGAAGAATCGAATATAGTTTGGATGGTTATTATACGAATCCGTATGCTATTTATACGTATTTTAAATTTATATATGCCTGCAACGAGATTTATGAACACCGTTAACGGCGTTAACGCAATACTAAACAACAATTGACGTGTATGTGTCTATCCGTCAATATTGCTATACTTTTGTATTCCTGTTTCATACGCGATAGTTTTTTAACTATTTTGTTTAATGTATTAATCTATTCATCTTATGATCAATAGACGAACTTTTTTGTGCCTAATGTATGATGTTTAAATGCGTTCATATTACAATATATTTATTAGTCGACGTAACGATGTCGTTTAGATAAATATAAGACAGTTGACAATTTTATTGTGCAGCTATAATAAAATGTAATCGTAATCGGTGAAATTTCCGGGTAATATTATAAAATGTCTAATCCTAAAATCCATTTACTGTATAACGATTGTACCCGTCTTTAAGGCGGGATCCCACTGCGTGATACGCGGCGCGATCAAAAGAATAATTTTTTTTAATTCACTGCACACGTTAATATATGATATGCTGCAGCATTGGCGATTTGTTCTTAGTCATCCATTATCAGTTAAAAATAAATCACAATATACATGTGTCGACGAGAGATAGACTCGGAATGCATGAAAAATGGATGCCGGACTCAAAAAGTGTGCCGAGCTACTACAGGCCACGCAAATGTGTTGGCGAGTAGGCTCAGCTCGTCTAGGTTTGGTATAGCAAACTAGTTTCACGTCGTAGGATCCCGCCTTTACTTCTTTACAATTATTCCTCCTTCCTACTTTTACAGACTTAAGACTAACAACAAAAGTAAATTGTTTAATTTGTTAAAAATTGTTTCATATTATGAAATAAGTACATAATATAATACCCTATTTGAATGTATTCGTGTATAAACAACTACATATAGACTTAAATAAGTACTTTTAATTAGATACCCGATAATTATATTTTTATAATATAATACAGAATATTAGACTTGAACGTTCTGTCTTTATTTTATACATAATATGTTTATTAATTAATATGCAATGTATTGATATTTTTAACAATGTATTGAAAAATTGTTAAGAGAGGACAACATCTATATTCTGTACAGTGAAATCGTATCGGTTTTTTTTGCAGGTAAAAAGGTAATACGGAATTATGATTAATAGACTACATAAAAATCGGTGTAATTTACAATAGCCCATCTACGAAGTATTCAATACATTTTACAAACAATATAATGGTGATGGGCCTTTCCTGTAACTGCACGTCTTGTGTGGTCTCCGGCACTGCAGTACATAACCAAAGTCCTTTATACTAGTGTACGACCCTCGTTTTACCCGTCAATATTCAATTTATTATTGTTTTCTTAAATCCGAAAATCGACATCCGTGTAGCATTGTGCGTGTTAAGGTTTTTTGAAAACTAATGGTAAATTTAGTTTTGACTATAATGTATGGACTACAGAATAAATAATAATATAACGCAGGTACAAGTGTGCATTCAAGTCTTCAATTTCATGCCGGGACACACACTTATACTTTTCAAAAGAATCAAATCAGGTTTCAAACATATATACATATATTAGACCCCCGGTTCCCGATACATACATACACACATATATAAATAATAAATATATATCAATTTAACGTGCCTATTTGCCTTATTTTTAAAACTCGATTTGCAAAATGTTATAATATAATCTATATTCTACGATGCGCTTGATATAGCAGGATATTATTATTTCGAGAAAAAACGGCAATGAATGTATGGATTAAAGATAAAAAATAAAAATAAACTTTTTAGAGCCGGATCAAAAAATATACCTATTAAACGTGTATGGCATTAACGAATCGTTTAATAATTTTGTTCGGTACAAGAGTTCGAGAAATAAATTAATGTTATCGATAAATTTTGAAGTTGCCTGTTATAGAACCGTATGAGGGAGATAAAACGTACAATTTATTATTATTTTAACAATCGTTTTTTTTTCTATTGGGTGGCGGCGCCATGTTTGTACGGTTAATATTTTAAATTTTTCATTTGATTCACTTCAAGAGAGTATAGTTATTGCGGGCCACATACTCAATAATAAATAATAATACATGATCTCATAATAAAATTGTATTATATTTCTTTAGAATTGGCCCGAGTTGTTAGTACATTTGATCACTAATTGTATCGATAATAAGCGCAGTCCGACACCGTGTTATCGCAACCGGATACCAATAAAGATAACACTTTCATATACTATTAAAATATTACTTAAATGTTTATCTAATTTTTAAAATGTTTTTGTTTCGTATTCATAAAATAATTTTTTCTTTCTGTACTGTTACTGAATGATGAATTGATGGTTTTTAAATTATTGAAACATGGCCCGTATTAAAATATTATCTAGCACTATTCGCAGGTCAGATGCCTTTGACTTTTGACGTTCACACCAGAGTGTATAAAAAAATATTTTAATACGTGCATATTGTGAAGCCGTAAAAGTATAAATTATATAATGCAAGACCATCTGTCTATTATTCCTACTTGTTTTGTAGTTACAAATTCATGAAAAATTTCCTTTTTATATCTACCTTAGATCTAAAAATATTATAAACGATGTATCATAAATAATAAAGCAAATTTACCTAAAATAGCAATATAAAAAAAAAAACCTAATATAAAATATACTAATAGGATACAAGCCGACAGACCATGATTCAATGATAAATAATTAAATTCAAATTTAACATATCCATAACAGTGATTCCACTCGATATTTACCGTGCAGCAGACTGTGGAATAGTATCCACAAAAAGATAGGGATTTTTACCTAAGGCCTATATCAGCGATTTTTAACCTGGGGTCCGCGGCCCCTTAGGGACTAGGGGGCCACAGCCCACAATACTCATGTCAGGAGTCCACGACAACCTTAACACATAACATACGTCAATATGTGACATAGTGCATTATTACAATATTATTAGATTCTTATTTTTTTTTTTCATTTATAATATATCTTATTAAAAAAAAGAGATTGACCTATTTTATCTATTAATATTACTTTTTATAAAAAATTAAGTATATTAAAAAAAATTATAAATGAATATGTTTTGTAATGTGTCTTATGTAATTTTTAAAATAAAATCATTATTATACATTTAGTTATAATAACAAGAGATGCTTTGTAAAAAAAAAAAAGTACTTATCCGAAAAAAAATTGGTAAGGGGGTCCGCGATTTCTAAAAACCTTTGATCATGGATCCGTGATCTATAGAAAGTGGTACCTACTTGTTTGTTATCGCCCCGCCATAAATAAAATAGATAATATAATAAATAAATAAATGATTTACATTAATAATACAAGAAACGCATAAGTGAGTATATATTTTACAACTCGATTGCGCACATACATTTTGACTACCTGTAACGAAAAGCCCTAGTATTAGATCTCGTTTGCGCACACATTTTCAAAAATATTAGAAATTTCTACATCCGTATTAAAGAATTTATGTCGTCAACGACGTCAACACACTAGTCGGTGACTAGTAGCATTGATTATAGAATAAATATTCTATAATCACTGCTAGTAGTCACCTATATACCGTACCATAGCCACTAAAACTGTACTAAAAGTAGTGAGGCACGGACAAAAATATTTGATAATGTGTACTGCAGTATGTGACGATTTATACATGTGTGACAAGTGTGTGGATATGTCGTTGTGCCCAAACGAGTGATCCGTTTTCATGTAAGCGACTGATTTCGTTGTGTGCAAGCGAGTTGCAGCGTGTAAATCGTGTATCTAGTATTTTTAATAACGAACCTTCCATGTTTAAAGTTTTGTTTGACGCAGAGCTCCAGCATCGTATTTAGACTTTAAAAGTAGGTAGATATATAATTAGGTAGGTAGTGTATAATTAATTTTATGAAATATAAATCTACTGGTATATATTGACTTCAATGCCTACGCATATCATTTACTTTATAATATTTATAAATTTATAATACATGGATAATAATATCTATGCTTCAAATGTGTAATTCCCCGTGTATTAATATATATGTAAATTTATGCAATATAAGTGATAAATATTTTTTAAGTAAATAATAAATTTTCACACAACACATGATAGGACGTATAATATATGATTTTATATCTTATAATAATATAAAACACACAAAGTGCCGTTTTCAATATCATACACAGCTGTTTACTGTATACACTATATGACATATGCTTATGATAATGCTGTTTACATTACATTATAAAATGGTGCTGATAAAAAAAATATTCAGTTAATAAATCCTGTTTACTGATGGCTTGAGTTGAATACTTTTCGAAAATAATAATAGTAATAATACATTCAGCGTATAGCATCGACCCTAGTCGTGTCGTAGTGGTGGGGAGCAGCGACGCGACGGACGCGTCGGTTATTTTTCATTGTACAGACGACATTCACATTCGAGTGCCTTCCGAGTGTTGACGTGTACAGTGCGTGTTGCGGATACAGTTAAATATACCTCGACGCTTACATTATATGACATAACTAAAATACTTTGTTTACATTGTTGATCTACGTCACATCTTTACAACGAATTGTTACATTATCATCAAGGTAAGCTTATACATTTATCTAATAAATAAATATTATAAAAAAACAACATAAAATTATTTATTATTAGCTGTTATTATTCGGTTTTATTTGTTTTTATTACTTCGGTTAATACGTCTCACCAGTGTATAATATTATAATAACGATAATTACTGTTGTTGTAGCGTAAGAGTGTACGGCGTACCTTTCGTCTGTTAACCAGATATTTCATAATCGGGACGCTGGCGATTGGCATTACTGCATTGGTGGCATTTTGTTGTTTACGATAGTACGGAAAGCACGGACTCGTATACTAACTTTTCCAATTCTTAGTTACTTACTAAAAAAGTTCATCAACCTATTTTGACCAGATATTTAAAAAGAAAACAACGCATCGTTTTCAAGTATGTATACGTACCTACCGTTTATAAACTTATAAAAATTCCAATAGATAAGACACTAGTTCTGCGTACTGTTCTTCATACTCGTTGGTCACTAGCTAAGTAAACTGACGTCGATGCAAATGAAAATCAGTTGCACTCTGGTGTTTTTTTTTTTTTTTTTTGGAAAGAAATATGTGTTATAAATTATGTAATCATTCATTTTTTCGCAGGACGTCATTTTTTACTGAAGTAACACATTAACGCACATCGCTATAAGCAGACTACTTAACACACTTTGCAATAAGGTTAAAAGTGAAATCCTGCATTTCTACTTCTTTTTAAGTGAACTCTCCAATTAAATATTTGTTCCTTTGTAAAGATGGAATCAAACAATAACAAACTAGCGGAAGATATTGAAATTAATGAACATTTCAATCCAGATGAGGTAATGTTTTTTAATTTATCTTTACTACTTATTAGTTTTAACTCGTCGTTGATAACACTATGAGAATTTTGCTCACACAATTACTATTTTTAGAACCACTGATTTATATTTCATTAGATTTTGTCAATTTTATATATAATATACGCTTTATTGAATTATTCATAAAAATGAACACGGAAAAATATTAAACGTTATGAATAAATTAACAAAGTTATTGAAGTCCAATATTACCATGTATGTTAGTGTTGTGCTCACACGTCACTAATCGCTTTACCATATTATCTTATTATATTATTTTATTATTATGCTTTAGCAGTTTAATATTGATATTTATCAGTACTGTGGTATATACATTTGTACGCTCACACATGTATTTTAATAGGTGAGCAATTCACTCATATATCAACAACGGTGTTATACAAATAACGTTACCAACGATGAGTTAAACTATTAAATAATTAAATTTATAATATACAGTCGTCACTCGTTAATTCGAACCTCGATAATTCAAAAAATTCCATAAATCAAACTAAACGCTAAGTCCCCTGAGAAAACCTCTATAATTAGAAGAAAATTCCTTAAACGCGATTATATGTAAGTTCTCATATGCATTGTTGCGTGCCAATATCAGATCCAGATCCAGGGTGTTATTAAAATGAAATTTACAACTCTTAAATACAATAATGTTTTATTATGTATAAATGAAG